GCTTTGCCACTATCACTTTTCATTTCATTAGTATTTGAAGTTGAATACGATCACTATTCTTCTGTGTGCGTGCAATGGTACGGGACTTGCACAGAGGACACATCGCATTGTTCATGGCGCGGAGGATATGGTGGGGCAGGGCACTTGGTGTGCTTGCAAAGTGGACTGTACAGAAGCAGTTCAGACAGCGCATCACAAGCAGCGACACGCACTGGCTCTCTTGGGCTGTCTATGCCCTGCGACATTCTTGTGCTTACGAGAGGGCCCGAATGTTGGTTTTGTACTCACGAGAGGGATTAAGTCACAACTACAACGTGCACGTGTCGGATTTGGTAATCGGAATGTTGAAGGCGTGTTCCAACTTCAAGACCCCCGACGACAGTGTAGCGTAACTTGCTTTTGGCGTTTTCGAGTACAATGCTTTCCAAAATATCTTGAAGGTACTCGTTGGTTTGGACGTTGATTCGCACGTCCCATTGGCGGTCTTCCTTGGAGTAGGGAAGGGTCTTGTCGGCTTGGTTCATCGGTGGTAAATTGAGTTGTGGCGTTTGACTTTTCATATGTGCTATGTCAAAGTTCGGTCATTCCGAGCTCGGAATAACATAGGGTTAGGGTTTTTATCAGGTTTAGGGTTAAGAATGTATGTCGCAGAATGTTTGTAGTGTAAGTTTACGGTAAAGTGTAAGTACGGTATAGTTTACGGTAAAGTGTTTGTGTACAGTAAAGTGACACAACAAAATTAGTATTAACACTAATTAAGAGGAGTAAGAGGCAACAAGCTATCCAAGTCGTCGTCAGAATACTGATTTCCCCCCCTAAACGGAACGGGGAATACTTTATAATTCTTGACATCCGATTTTATGAAACCTCGAGAGTTTTTTCAAACATTTGAACCGACATGTCTGTTTTTACTGGTGGTGACGCAATCTCTAACAATTAATACCTTTTGTTTTTGATATTCTGTATAATGTGTTCAAGGGCACCCGTTCCGTTTAGGGGGGGAAATCAGTACAAGTCGAATAATTGTTCATCGGTCGTATCGTTGATGAGATCGACAACTTCCGGTTCATCTTCGTGAAGGTCTTCAATCACACGGTGGCCAGACGCTGGACGGCTTGTCAGAATCATGAGACGTGCGATCTCCACTCGTTGTGATGCAAAAACTTCGTCAGACAGCTGCAGAGAGCGACGGAGGTCAAGAACTTCGTCTTCCAGGGCGTCGATGTGGTCGATGAGCATTTCTACTCACACTATACGAGCCTTCTTGCTGGGGGCGTCGGGGATGTCGGTGACAGGGCGCTTGGTGGGAGTCAGGGCGAAATGGAAATGAGTCTGTGCCCTTGAGTGCCTTGTGCTATAGACGTGGATTTCGTACAGTACATATGCTAAAGACACGAAAAAATACTGTACGACTATGACACAAGAAATTTTGCACCCATAGATTAACTGTGAAAGTTGATATTAGATTAAAGAAGAACTTGTTCTTCTTTTCGTGTATGAAAAGAGTGAGGGTGGGTGCCGGTTATCAGATCCGTACGCCGTGCTCTGTGCTCCTAGCTCGGGAGTCTACCGAGCTAGGAGTCTACCGAGCTAGGAGCACAGAGCACGGCGTACGGATCTGATAACCGGCACCCACCCTCACTCTTTTCATACACGAAAAGGATGGTGATCAATGGTGGTGGCAGAATCATAACATAGCTCTGAGCATAAACTAATAGCTCTGAGCATAAGCTATTGCTCAGTGCTATGGTAGGATTCTACCACCACCATTGATCACCATTAGACTAAAAGAATAAGCGCTGCTTATCCTTAGGGATATAATATTACTTAACAGAATTAGGGAGTGTTTACTGATCTTTCCCTGCGTTTCGTGGATTTGGAATTTCAGCACGGGTGTACGAAAGATGACAGACATGAATCTCTTATTTGTATTTTTCCGAGGACACATGTCACGGAGACCAACTATCAAATATCGATAGAGCTGGACGAATCCAACAGCAAAATACTCGATCACATCTAAAGAGGGCATTCTCACATGAAAATGGTTCTTGTCACACTGGAATTGTTTTTCTCACAACAAAATGGACATGACTGAAAGCATCTCAAATGTATCATGTTGTAAAGGTCTCCGGCACTGGGAGAAATTCCAAAGGTTACCATCCGCGTCCCCCAGGCCAACCGCAGCCGCTGATGTGATCGTCTCTGGTACTGTACGTAGCTGCGCCACATCCTTGAGGGTAGTGCAGGTGCTTGTTCGACGATGGATGTTTGCGACAGCCGCCGATCCCAGAACCGCCGAAACGCACGGGAAAAGCCAACACGAACGTTCGGACTAACATGGCCGCGATTCAAGCATACACGAATGCGCTTGAGCACAACTACACTGGCAAGCACTATTTTGACGTGAGCAAGAACCGAAGCAACAAGAGGATTTACGGCACGGCCAAGGACATCGTTCACGACGCGTTGCCGATTCAGTGCCTGGTAGCAGTGTTCGTCGCAGCATACCTTGCTCGTGGAGTGGCGGGTGGGTAGCCGTAGGAGGACCGCCATGCCTTGAACCTCAACGTATTCGAGCTCGTGATGTTGACCCTGCCTTGTTTCGTTCATTAGATGCTCAACATCAAGACGAATATTCATCCGTGGGACAACGTGGCAGCCCAGCTCGATCTGCTCACGCGGGAATATTCCGAGCTCATGAGGTACGTCGACCATGCAAGTTCGTGTGAATATGGAACGTGACCTGCTTCACTGATGCAGCTATTAATTGAGTGTAAATTGGAATGACGAGAAGGCAGCAGAGACGTATTCCCCTCCATTGTCAGAACTTAGACGACGCACTGGTCGGTTGAATTGCGTATGACAATATGCAACGAATTCTTTGAAACACTGGAGTGCATCAGACTTGTGCTGAAGGAAGAAGACGTAGCCATAGCGCGAACAATCCACTGAGTGCAGGATGGCGCATCGGTCCACAAAGATCCGAGTGAACGAGAGCAAATGGTTCATCGGTAGACATCAATGAACGTTGTGGAAACGGTAGACGCGATTGCTTTCCGGCGAGACAACTCGAGAAAAATTGGTGCTTGCAGCTGGGAAGTTCAATGCCAGTCGTGTATTGCTTGGTTTTCACCGTGTGCTTGAGGCTGATGTGACCCAACCGGACATGCCAAGTTATCGGCATTGGTACTAGTCACAAGAGAGTGAACAATGATAGCATCCGGAGCATTGAGCTCGACGGAGTCAAAGGATTGGCAATGTCCAGGAAATTCAAATTGTTCCCGCACATACGAAAGGCAAAGACTTGGTCATCGCGTGTGACGGAGCAATCGGCTTCACGAAACACGA